ACCTTTTAACTCTACTATTTAATAAAAAAAAACATATTTCAACGAAAAAAAATGTTTGTTAAAAATATTTCTATGAAAAATTATTTTAAAACAGTTTTATGACGCAGGGGATATCGAATTTTAAGTTACGCTTAATAAAGTCCGATTCAGGGCCATGTATATTTAGAATAGACCATGTCGTACTTAAGCAACATTCACATTAATCATGCCTACAAATGTGATATTTTAACCCTTGACCCTCGGGTCAGGTTATCACAATGCAAATGGAATCAACACAAAACGAGGGGGTGATAATCAGCTAGTCCCCCTATATGCACACGCCGAACGTTGTTAATGCTGACAGCTCACGGGGTGTCGAACGAATTCTTGCAGACTGGTGTGGACGTATCACTGTATACTTTCGCTGGTATTTGAAAAGCTACGTGTAAGGCTATTAGGGTTAGTGCATGCTTTGATGGGCTATCCTAAGTTTCTTTCGGGTATCTCTCTCTGAAACGATTTGTGTGTGTGCGCGCCTTCCCGAAAATTCCATACCCTCACTCCCGTCTCAAGGAAAAAAAAAAAGTTTAAAACCACCGACCCCATTGCTATTAGGATTAGGGCATGGCTTATAGTTTGGTTAGGTTTAGAGTCTCGAATGGGGTTAGGATAACGCTTAGGTTCCTAACATTTTTTTAAAGTGGCGACCCCTTTTTAAAAAAGCTAAGCCACCCGCGACCCATTACTATTTTTTAAAAATTGCAATAATTTTTTTTTATTATGTTGAACCTACAAGCACGCGACCCCCCCCCCCCCCCCATTGCACACAGACTAAGACTCTTAGACTTGGAACCCGAGTGTCAACGTTATCCACCTTGTGACGATGTAGCCTACCCATAAGTCCAAAAGGCTAGTAAAATATAGTTCCCGACATTCAACAAACTCATGCATAGCATGGGAACTTACAAGGCACGATCAATCCAGAAAGGAAAGTAACTTCTGGGAAGGGAAGGAATTCAAAATACAAGTGCGCCAAAAGATTAGTTTTATCTATAAGCCGTTGTTTGTTGAAATTAAATTTCACGGTTGCCTTGGATTACGGTTAATTAATGCAAGTTAAAAGGTTACAATTAGATTAGCGATCTTCCATAAAAAAACGTCACTTTTTTAAGACCAATAACATTTGAACCCCAACCATCAATTCGTCTGACAGCCAAAACAATAATAGTTTTTTCCCTTCTATTAATGTTTCATTGTTTTGGTATCTAGGTTTTCAAATTTTAATTGATCAGAAGCAATTAATAAAGTATTAATTTTAAAATAGTCTCAAGCCAAACATCACTCGATCAGCCCTCAAGTAAATAAACATTAGAACAGTCTTCTGTTTCCCAGGTTTTAAAAGTGCACAACATGAATGGTAGAAAGAGATACCCCCCCCCCCATAACCGGATTGGCGGATATTTCAAGGTAGCGCCAAGGGTCAATTTATGTCATGGAACTGGAAAGTTTTGGAATGATAAATCAGTATGAGTATTACAGAGACACTTCTCCCACGGTCGTTTCTATTTCTGTCCATGGGTGGCTACAATGTGAACTTTTGACTCCGCAGCACAGTAAACTAAGCAGTCAAGAGAAACCGAGTTTGCACACCTTATTTTTAGTCTAGTTGTATGCCATTTTATTTTCTCCCTTTGATTATTATGCAATTGATGTTCATGTCTTTGATGTTGTATAAAACTATCAAATTATTATTACTGATAAAAAAAAAATTGTTCTGATCAGTATGAGAATAGTTAAGAGGTTCGCTTTAAGAATCAGTGGTCGAATCGTGGGCTACTTGTACACTTAAAATTTACGCTAGCATAATCTCAGAACCAGCAACCACAATATTCAAACTCAGAGGCGTAGCGACCCATTCCGGGGCGGACTATCATTTTTGACCCCTTGCTTCCATTTCTATATATAGTTATTCCTGTCCCCCCCCCCCCCCCCATGTTGGAAAGGTTTGTCGCGCTTCTTACCAGTTGGTTTCCTGTAACATTTTCTATTTCGGCGCCACAAACTCGGTCTAGGAAACAGATCTGTGGGTAAAGCCTTGTAGTCGTTTATTTTCGTAACTTTGGTTGTATAATTCAACACTCCAGCTTAAAATAAGATTTTTAATTATTTTTTTCTACTCCCGCTGGCGCCCCCTTAGGGTCGGCGCCCGGGGCGGCCGCCCCACCCGCCCACCCCTAGCTACGCCACTGTTCAAACTTTTTAACAAACAAGAGAAACAAATCTAGGCATTAAAGTTAGGTAAAAACACTGTAATATAATTAGTACATGTAAACTACGCGTGATGTGAAGTTTTTTGTTTTTGTTTTTTTAAACTTACTAAGTAATTTTAATTTTAAAATAAAATCACACTCTAGCTAGAGCCTACATACTGCTCTAGACCTAATGATGAAAGTATTCACCCCAAATGTTAATGAAATATAATTAATATACATTCAAATACATAAAATAAACTATTTAGAAATTTCAAACAATATCAAGTTGTTGCAGAGAATCGCTTGATCGTTTATTTTTGTTTTTGTGAAGATCTAGCCTGAGCCGGTACTAGATCTAGAAAAATATTCTATTCGCCCCCGCACCGCTCGTTTAGAAAATAAGTGACGTCATATTAAAGAACCGCTAGCCTTATGATATTGACGCTTGAAAACGTAGCCGGCAATGTCTGCTTATGAGATATGTGACGACATGGTCGCAGACGTTGGTTTTTAACTGCAACGAACTGTAGAGCTTTGACTAGGCCCTAAGGGCCTATTTTAAAGAATAGCCTAGAAAGATAACACATCCGTCATTTTTTTTCCTTCGCACCATCAGAAACAGCAATAAATTATTTATCTAGCCTATGTCCACACTTGCAAAAGGGTGGGTGGGGGGGGGGTGTACACGTGTAAACGTTTACAGATTAAAAAAAAAACTTAAAGAGTGATTTACATGGCAGTTAGGGCCTTATAGAGAGAATGGCTTTTTAAAATGTGTCCTAAGTCCTAACTAATATCATGTTTTTAACACCTAGCGTGTCACTAAAAATATTTTAGGCCAACACTTTTTTTGTCAACCTGATTATGCCTATTAAAACTATGAATATAAGGATGGGGCTATAGAATTAACACGTATAGATCTAGATCAGTGGTTTTTAACCTAGGTACGATCAAACCTCAGGGGTTCAGTGAGTCAGTGGTTGAGTGAGTCAGTCTAAGGGGTTCACTGAATCAGTGGTTGAGTGAGTCAGTCTCAGTGGTTCAGTGAGTCAGTCTCAGGGGTTCAATGAATCAGTCTTAGGGGTTCAGTAAGTCAGTCTCAAGGGTCTAGTGAGTCAGTCTCAGGGGTTCAGTGAGTCAGTCTCAGGGGTTCAGTGGGTCAGTCTCAGGGGTTCAGTCTCAGGGGTTCAGTGAGTCAGTCTCAGGGGTTAGGTGAGTCAGTCTCAGGGGTTCAGTGAGTCAGTCTCAGGGGTTCAGTGAGTCAGTCTCAGGGGTTCAGTGAGTCAGTCTCAGGGGTTCAGTGAGTCAGTCTCAGGGGTTAGGTGAGTCAGTCTCAGGGGTTCAGTGAGTCAGTCTCAGGGGTTCAGTGAGTCAGTCTCAGGGGTTCAGTGAGTCAGTCTCAGGGGTTAGGTGAGTCAGTCTCAGGGGTTCAGTAGAGATCAAAGAACACCCGACTCGTATTTTTCATGATCAGATTGCATAATGTCAGACGATAGAACTATTAAAAAGGGTTCAGTGAATGCACATATGAAACGGGTAGGGCTCGGTACCTCCCCAAACAGGCTAAGAACCACTGATTTAGGTACTTCTAGTAATACTTAGGCCTAATTATTAGTTTTTTTGGACTTGATTACAATCTCAACACAGTCTATTTAAAATAAATGATTCAAATTTTGCTTTGATTAAGCTCAGCTTTTTATCATCATAAATCTTAATTTTTAACCAACATATTGAATTAATATTAGGCCTGGATCTAGATTTTTTCTACATATCCCATCAAGATATAATTACCTAGATCTAGTTTAGTTTTTAAAAAGTTATCCATGTGGGGCAAAAATCTCAGTTCACAGGCTATTAAAATGACTGCAGCAAACGAACGAAAGGGATAGTGTGGTCGCCAAACCGCCTTTACTTTTATTTTTCGTTAGTGCACACTTCCCTTAAGGTACCCATCGGCTGGGTGGACTCAGGGACGTCCTGCAGACTATAACCCCGGATCCGAACCGGAGACTTCGTTAGCAGTCGTGCAATATACTATCAGATCACGCCACCACATATTTTAAAGTATTAGATCTAGGCCTAATTAATGTATTATAATAATTGCGCACTGGAAATCCAAGCACCAAGCCTAGCCCCTTAGTTTAGAACATTTTGCCCATGCATTGCGCCCCCTCTTCTCCACGCAGCTGATGGACCCAATGGACAGAATGTTAGCTGTTTGACAGTTAGACCCTATATTGCCTAGATCTAGATCTATCTATTCTAGATCTAATAAGTGAGTATCTATCAGTAGCGTAGCGAGGGGGGGGGGCATATGTCCCCGGGCGCCGACCTTAGGGGGCGCCAAAATGGGTTGGAAAATTAAATTGAAAGGTTGAGGGGGGTGCAAATGAAAATCTTAAGGGGGGGGGGTGCAAATCGTAAGTTTGAGGGAGGGTGCAAATGAAAATCTTGAGGGGGAGTGCAAATCGGAAATTAGGGGGGGGGGTGTGCAAATCGAAATCTTGAGGGGGGGGGGGGGGTTGCAAATCAAAAAGTTTGTCCCCGGGCGCCAGGAAGGGTCGCTACGCCTCTGGTATCTATACAACTTCAACTTGGAATCAGCTGTGTCAAAGGAGCTACCGTTAGGGGGCTCCACTCCTGTTGATTTCCAGAGTTTTCTCTCCTGGATGGGTTGCGGTCCCCGGTTGACGAGTTACTACTGTACAAGGCCTAATTTAATTACCAGGAAAATTTTAATTAGTAGCCTAATGTAAGTAAAAGACATACCGTTGCCATAATATTCTCATCAGTTTCAGGCTCAGGCTCTGCCCAGTCCACGGCGATAGTGTGACCCCACAGCTGTACCCGGCCGGGGATCAGCTTCCTTCTGGCCATAGCAGCTGACCGGTGGTTCTCGTACTCGACGAAGGCAAACCCTCGATTCTTGGACTTATCCATGGCACTGGGGTACACTATGACGTCCACTACACCCTCGGTGACCTTTGACATCTCGTTCATTATTTCCTCCCTTTGTTTATTTTTGGGAATCCCCCCAACAAACAGCCGGCAGTTGTCAACACTTGAACACACACCCAAGTACCGGCCTTTTAGTATTTCGTAATTGTTCAGTTCTTGAATGGCGCGTTTCGCGTCGCTTTTCGTACAATAGGTGCAGAAAGCGAAGCCTCGGTTTGATCCGCTGAAATCCATCATTAATCGGAATTCGTAGATTTTCCCGATTTTGAGGAAGACGGGGATCAGGCTATCTTCGTAGATATCTCTTGGGATTTTCCCGATGAAAATCTCGGCGCCCCGGGGAGGGGGTGGACCGCTCCAGTCTGGAGGTGGTCCGCCGAACTTGCGCTGCCCGTTTTCTTGCACGAGAGGGTATCCTGTTTGTTGCATGAGAGCTAGGAGGGCGACTTCGTTAGGTGTACCCGTAACACCGGGTAAGTTACTTGACGGTTGCTCCATGTTCACAATTTTAATTTTCTTTTAAAAACAAATATTGAAATAATCCAAAAGTTTGCCGGTAGATTTCGCACAAAATATATGTTTCGAATTTGAGTAAAATCAAAACAAATCAAATGAAATTAAGATGAAAAAACAACACCACAATCACATAGGTCGGACAAGCCTACAAATAATAAAAGAATGAAGATTAGAAACACTGATTTGAAGATCGATTAAATAAAAATCACACTCTTGCTAACGTCCTCCCTCTACGGTTCCATTTATTGATGTGACTGACAATCGTGGACTGAACCGTGCACGATAGCGAGATTAGTCGGGGCGCATGCGCGAGGCTGTTATCAGTTGTCAACAAGACAAAACATGAAATAAAACTTTAGACCTAGGCCACGCCTACCGGCGGTATCGTGGGCGGGGCATGAATTTTTCTTAAGAGCCTACCCCCATGTGATCTGACCTTGAGGAGGGGCGGGGTGGGGTGAGGGTAACGTAGCAGGTGGGGGGTGCGTGTACAGCGGGGCAGGGGTAATGATGGGGGTGGGGGTCGATGATGGATACTTCATGTAGTAGAAGTAGTAGTAGTAGTAGTAGGCTTCCAAGTAGCCTAAGTTAAAATTGAAAGCCTGTGTTTAAAATTGGGCTAGGCTTAATTTTAGTTAGGCCTATGGTACTAATAAAAAGTATGCCCTAGACTTACGCCAGCTTGTAGTTAGTAAACACGAAAGTTATTTTTTTCGTTTCTGTTGCATCAGTTGTCAAATAATTGAACTGATTTGATTTGAAGAGCAGTCTTTAGATTTAGAATATTTTTTTGTACTACACAAAAAAAAAATGGTTTCTTAGGAACGTTTTATTAAAATACAATACTTGCTAAATATTTGAAAATAGTTGTGGCACTGCCGCTCCCCCACCATCCCTTGTCTTTAAGTGCGCCCCCAATGTTAGTTTCTTCTAGACATTTTCTCCGGGGGGGGGGGGGGGGCGGCACTTGAAATTTTCGGGGGGGGGGGCGGACTAAATTTTTTGGGGGGGGGGGGTGGGGTGGGGAAGGGTCGGACACTGTTAAAAGTATATATTTTTCTTTATAAATTCTATTTCGTTCGGGGGGACGGGAAGGGTGGAATGACCACGGCTCTGACGCCCCCCCCCCCCCCCGAAGAGAACTGGACGAAACTCTAACACCCCCCCCCCCCACCTCCGAAACAAAGTGAAAAAGCCTATGGAGGAAACCAGTAACGAAACTGTTAAAATTAATTTTGAAATATTAAATCTATATATATATATAATTCTCTTCTGGAAGACGCTAGAAAACAAGCTGTAAGCGGAGTTTACTTTAACGGAGTGGGGGGGGGGGGGTATCGTCCTTAACGAGCTACTTATAGTGTTTTAAAGAAATATTTGCAGTGGCAGCGTTGGTACTGTCGAATTAACAAATTATGAATTACTGAAAAGTAGAAAAAACAACAACTAAATAGCGGCGTATGATATGCTGCGGGTCGGCTCGTAACATTACAACACGGCACTTTACCACCAATCACCACAAATCCCATACACCATGGCAAAAGAACAAAATGGGTCGCATGATTTATCTACTGCCGTAAAAGAATAAATATCTTCTAAAAATGTTACAAAATCAAACCGGAGTTGATGAATAGCCTTAGGCCATGATAAAAAAAAATAAAATACGAGTACACCCAAAATTGTCGAAATTGTACGTAGCCGACCACTCTTCCTCTCCACCACACCCGGTGATTCTTTCAAACATGTTTCTGTGGGTGGGGGGGGGGGGGGGGGGGTCGGGGGGGGGTGGTACTACAGCTGTGATTAGAGAAATGCGTCTCCACTCCGGCGGCTCATAACATGAGTTCAAAACCGACTGTACGTATAATAATTTAAACGAGCCGACCCGCGGCGTATCATATGCAGAGTTTCTTCCAGGCATCTCTTCGGGGGGAGGGGGGGGAGGGGCAAAGCCCCCCCCCGAAAAAATTCTACCGCCCCCCCCCCCCGAGCGAAATGAAATTTATATAATTTATATAGAAAATATATACTTTTAAAAGTGTCCCCCCCCCCCGAAGAAAAAAGTCTGGAAGAAACACTGATCATATGCCGCTATTTAGTCTTTAGTTGTTTTATTTTCTACTTTTCAGTTGGCCTAATTCATAATTTGTGAATTCGGCAGTACCAGTGCTGCCACTGAAAATATTTGCTTTAAAACACTATCAGTAGGTCGTTAAGGACGATACTACCCTCCCCCTCCTTTCCCCCAACCCCTACCCTACACCCCCCCCCCCCGTGAAAGCAGCCTCCTCTTAATTACCTCCCATAAGTTTAAAATAGTTTCAATCTAAATTATCTGCCCCTAATAGGCGTCACTAAACCCGGCTGTATGATTGTAAAAATTTAGCGTGACGACAGCTCACCAGACCATGTGGGGGTGGGGGGAGGTTGATTTATGCCTAGTGAAGAAGAGAGGGGACTGCAAGGCGTGCTTACAGCTTGTTTTCTAGCGTCTCCCAGAAGAGAATTATATACATAGATAGTAGCGACTAAAAAAAAAAGTTGGGTGAGGGGGGGGGGGAAGAGGGGACATTGTAGGTAGGGGGGGAGAACATAGGTTATCGCGCTCGGCCCTGTGCGGGTCGCGTTATGTAACACGGAGAAAGCCGACGACTGGTAGAAAGGGAGATCACTTGACTTTGATGTCGCTTCTGACGACGGAACAGACAGCTGCGCCGACGATGGGGGAACCGTGGTCGGGGCGGCGGCGGCGGTGCCGACAAGGCGTTTGATGGTTCTGTCGGCTGTCTCCGTCAGCATTTCTGCTAACGGTTACAGTTATTTATATTATGGGGGGGGGGGGTCTGTTTATGAATGTCATTCAAAAATGGTTTTATAAATACTATTATTTTATATAGCCTAGTGTTTATTTTCAATAAGCAAGCAACAACAGACCCTAACGATCGTACTGATTGTCAATGGCATCTCTAGGTCAGTGGTTTATAACTTGTGGCTCTAGGCCAGTGGTTTATAACTTGTGGCTCTAGGCCAGTGGTTTATAACTTGTGGGGCCAGTGGTTTATAACTTGTGGCTCTATGACAGTGGTTTATAACTTGTGGCTCTAGGCCAGTGGTTTATAACTTGTGGCTCTAGATCAGTGGTTTATAACTTGTGGCTCTAGGCCAGTGGTTTATAACTTGTGGCTCTAGGCCAGTGGTTTATAACTTGTGGCTCTAGGCCAGTGGTTTATAACTTGTGGCTCTAGGCCAGTGGTTTATAACTTGTGGCTCTAGTCCAGTGGTTTATAACTTGTGGCTCTAGTTATAACTTGTGGCTCTAGGCCAGTGGTTTATAACTTGTGGCTCTAGGCCAGTGGTTTATAACTTGTGGCTCTAGGCCAGTGGTTTATAACTTGTGGTTCTAGTCCAGTGGTTTATAACTTGTGGCTCTAGGCCAGTGGTTTATAACTTGTGGCTCTAGGCCAGTGGTTTATAACTTGTGGCTCTAGGCCAGTGGTTTATAACTTGTGGCTCTAGGCCAGTGGTTTATAACTTGTGGCTCTAGGCCAGTGGTTTATAACTTGTGGCTTTAGGTCAGTGGTTTATAACTTGTGGCTCTAGGCCAGTGGTTTATAACTTGTGGCTCTAGGCCAGTGGTTTATAACTTGTGGCTCTAGGTCAGTGGTTTATAACTTGTGGCCCTAGGTAAGTGGTTTATAACTTGTGGCTCTAGGCCAGTGGTTTATAACCTGTGGCTCTAGGCCAGTGGTTTATAACTTGTGGGGCCAGTGGTTTATAACTTGTGGCTCTAGGCCAGTGGTTTATAACTTGTGGCTCTAGGCCAGTGGTTTATAACTTGTGGCTCTAGGTCAGTGGTTTATAACTTGTGGCTCTAGGCCAGTGGTTTATAACTTGTGGCTCTAGTCCAGTGGTTTATAACTTGTGGCTCTAGGTCAGTGGTTTATAACTTGTGGCTCTAGGCCAGTGGTTTATAACTTGTGGCTCTAGGACCTAGGCCAGTGGTTTATAACTTGTGGCTCTAGTCCAGTGGTTTATAACTTGTGGCTCTAGTTATAACTTGTGGCTCTAGGCCAGTGGTTTATAACTTGTGGCTCTAGGCCAGTGGTTTATAACTTGTGGCTCTAGGCCAGTGGTTTATAACTTGTGGCTCTAGGCCAGTGGTTTATAACTTGTGGCTCTAGGCCAGTGGTTTATAACTTGTGGCTCTAGTCCAGTGGTTTATAACTTGTGGCTCTAGGCCAGTGGTTTATAACTTGTGGCTCTAGGCCAGTGGTTTATAACTTGTGGCTCTAGGCCAGTGGTTTATAACTTGTGGCTCTAGGCCAGTGGTTTATAACTTGTGGCTCTAGGCCAGTGGTTTATAACTTGTGGCTCTAGGCCAGTGGTTTATAACTTGTGGCTCTAGGCCAGTGGTTTATAACTTGTGGGGCCAGTGGTTTATAACTTGTGGCTCTAGGCCAGTGGTTTATAACTTGTGGCTCTAGGCCAGTGGTTTATAACTTGTGGCTCTAGGCCAGTGGTTTATAACTTGTGGCTCTAGGCCAGTGGTTTATAACTTGTGGGGCCAGTGGTTTATAACTTGTGGCTCTAGGCCAGTGGTTTATAACTTGTGGCTCTAGTCCAGTGGTTTATAACTTGTGGCTCTAGGCCAGTGGTTTATAACTTGTGGCTCTAGGCCAGTGGTTTATAACTTGTGGGGCCAGTGGTTTATAACTTGTGGCTCTAGGCCAGTGGTTTATAACTTGTGGGGCCAGTGGTTTATAACTTGTGGCTCTAGGCCAGTGGTTTATAACTTGTGGCTCTAGGCCAGTGGTTTATAACTTGTGGGGCCAGTGGTTTATAACTTGTGGCTCTAGGCCAGTGGTTTATAACTTGTGGCTCTAGTCCAGTGGTTTATAACTTGTGGCTCTAGGCCAGTGGTTTATAACTTGTGGCTCTAGGCCAGTGGTTTATAACTTGTGGGGCCAGTGGTTTATAACTTGTGGCTCTAGGCCAGTGGTTTATAACTTGTGGGGCCAGTGGTTTATATCTTGTGGCTCTAGGCCAGTGGTTTATAACTTGTGGCTCTAGTAGTCTAAGCCAGTGGTTTATAACTTGTGGCTCTAGTCCAGTGGTTTATAACTTGTGGCTCTAGGCCAGTGGTTTATAACTTGTGGCCCTAGGTCAGTGGTTTATAACTTGTGGCTCTAGGCAAGTGGTTTATAACTTGTGGGGCCAGTGGTTTATAACTTGTGGCCCTAGGCCATTGGTTTATAACTTGTGGCTCTAGGCCATTGGTTTATAACTTGTGGGGCCAGTGGTTTATAACTTGTGGCTCTAGGCCAGTGGTTTATATCTTGTGGCTCTAGTCCAGTGGTTTATAACTTGTGGCTCTAGGCCAGTGGTTTATAACTTGTGGCCCTAGGTCAGTGGTTTATAACTTGTGGCTCTAGGCAAGTGGTTTATAACTTGTGGGGCCAGTGGTTTATAACTTGTGGCTCTAGGTCAGTGGTTTATAACTTGTGGCTCTAGGCCAGTGGTTTATAACTTGTGGGGCCAGTGGTTTATAACTTGTGGCTCTAGGCCAGTGGTTTATATCTTGTGGCTCTAGGCCTGTGGTTTATAACTGGTGGCTCTAGGCCAGTGGTTTATAACTTGTGGCTCTAGGCCATTGGTTTATAACTTGTGGGGCCAGTGGTTTATAACTTGTGGCTCTAGGCCAGTGGTTTATAACTTGTGGCTCTAGGCCAGTGGTTTATAACTTGTGGCTCTAGGCCATTGGTTTATAACTTGTGGCTCTAGGCCATTGGTTTATAACTTGTGGGGCCAGTGGTTTATAACTTGTGGCTCTAGGCCAGTGGTTTATAACTTGTGGCTCTAGGCCAGTGGTTTATATCTTGCGGCTCTAGGCCAGTCGACGGGAAAGTCAGAGGCGTAGTGAGGGGGGGGGGGGAACATATGTCCCCGGGCGCCGACCTTAGGGGGGGGGGGGCGCCAAATTGAAATTTTGAGGGGGTGCAAATCGAAAGTTTGAGGGGGGGGGGTGCAAATCGAAAGTTTGAGGGGGGGGGGGGGTGCAAATTAAAAGTTCGAGGGGGGGGGGGGGGGTTGCAAATCGAAAGTTTGAGGGGGGTGCAAATTAAAAGTTCGGTGGAGGGGTTGCAAATCGAAAGTTTGTCCCCGGGCGCCGGGAAGGGTCGCTATGCCTCTGGGGAAAGTTTAAGGAAAACGGTTACAGGCAAATTAGAATAGAACAAAAATCGAACGGAATTAAGTGGTAAAAGTGACAAAATGTATTAAAATTTGTTACCAAAGTTCATGTGGGTAAATTTGTAAACCATTTCTTGTTCAGCAGCTTGTTAATGGAACTTAAAATAGCGCGAACTAGACAGCTGAATAAGAGACGAGCGGAACGAGGTGGTACATAAATGACGAAACTTTCCTCATCCGCCCTTTCTTGCGTCACACATCAGAAAAAATTCAGACTACCTCCACCCTCACCCAAAAGACGTCACACTTCAGTCTACTCCCTCCCCCTTTTTTTTAAACAGCTATTTTGTTTTTTAAAATAATATTTAAATTAACTTAGGCTTAGTTTTTTTTTTGACGATTACATACACACAATGAACGATTTTTTTTCTATTTTTTTTATTTTACACTAACAAATATTAAAATGCGAAAAGAAGAAGCTATAAACATTTAAAACAAAAAAAAAATTAATTTAATTTAACCGCAAAAAGTATGACGTCATACTTACTTACTTCCACCCCCTCCTCCAACAGCATTGTCATCACAGTCCTAACCCCTCCCCCGGACCCCCCCCCCCCACTTGCTAGGAAGTAGTGTGACTTTTTTTTTTTTTAAAGACGACCATCGAGTAGACTAGGCCTAATGGATTTGCCTCTGATGTTCCCGGTGCACGTGTTTCCAGAGGCGTAGCGAGGGGGGGGGGGGCATAAGTCCCCGGGCGCCGACCTTAGGGGGCGCCAAAATGGGTTGGGAAAACAAAATCAAAAGTTTAAGGGGGTGGGGTGCAAATCGAAAATTTGTCCCCGGGCGCCTCTGCGTGTTTCTATAAAAGTAAAAAAAACAATTAAGTCTAGACCAAACTGTAGACCTAACCAAACGGCGAAAAGCAGACAAGAGAAAAGTAATGCTGGCACGATTTTTAAAGAGAAAGCCGACAATAACAAGTGAAAGGCCGACTGACGGAAGGCCGACAAGACACGTATTGTGTAACAACCATACAATCTAAATTGGTTAGGGCTAGGGTTAAATTGATAAATACATCCAGCCACAGGGGTTTTAACTGCACTTCTAGATATTAAATAAATAATTGATGCCCCCCCCCCATATGTTAAAACAAGGGAGATAATAACACAACACCCTCCCCCTTAACGCACTAAGTTATTTTCGGACCGTTATGCTCCCTATTGTTAAAGGGTAGATAAATAAACCTACAGGACCTAATAAAAATTACAAATTACCAGTTATTTTAAACTGTTGATAGATGGCTACTGTTTGTGCAATTATTACAATGCCATTTGATTAGCGAAGTGTCTATTCACAGTCGGTCGACTATGATTAGCTCATTTCAGCAGCTGGTGGTGAAATTTACTCGATCTACCAGAGGGGGGCGGGGGTTCACCTGGGTTCGTTTGAACCCCAGGTATTCGGCGAGACAGTCTCAGGGGTTCGGTGTAAGTCAAGACACACACCCGACTCATATAATTCACGATCGGACCCACTCATTGTTTCTTTCAAACTTTTTTTCTCCGGAGTGTGTGTGTGTGTGTGTATGTGTATGTGCGCGCGCGGGTGTGCGTGCGGACCAGGGCCGGCGCTACCTACAAGGCGAACTAGGCGGTCGCCTAGGGCGCTGGCCGTAGGGGGGGCGCTACAAATTGAAAGTTTGAGGGTGGGGGTGCAAATCGAAAGTTTGAGGGGGGGGGGGGGGTGCAAATCGAAAGTTTGTCCCCGGGGACACGAAAAAAATTGCGGGGGGGGGGGGGGGCGCTTTTAGTAAGTTTTGCCAAGGGTGCTAAATAACCTGGCGCCGGCACTGATGTGGACACTGGTATAAAGTATATATTTTCATTATAAATTTTATTTTGTACGTCCCCCCCCCCCCCCCCCCCGAAGAAATGCCTGGAAAAAGTAAAAAAAAGGACTGTTAAAAAGTACTTGGGTGATGCGCATGTGAAACTGTTGGGGTTCTTCCCCTCCAAAAAGGTTAAGATTTAAGAACCAGCAATACAACAGGGCTTAGTGGACTCAGGGTGTCCCACCAACTAGAATTCCAGGATCCCATTAATAATGAGACTTCAGTGTTCTATCATCTGACCAGACTATCCCATATCCAACAAGGCTTGTTTGAAATGTAAAGAAAAGTTAGACATACAACAGCTAAAGTTTGTGATTTGAAAAATATTGCTTTTATAGTCTTGATAATTTTTATTGTAAACATCCCATTTGATATATACATGGTCCTTTTAAACTGAGGGATTGACAAAAAAAATTTCTTCAATGGCAATAAAAATTTGGTTTTCCAACAGATCCATTTCATCTAATTAACTAATTAAACTTTACATAAATTTACATAGTTAATTATATAGTAAATGTAAATAATTAAATATCATCGTAATTTTGAGATATTAAAACATATTAAAAATTTTGACAAAAAATACATACATTTTTTTATTATTTACTGAACACAATTTTAAAATTAATCATCTTCACCTTTATAAATGCACAATTACAATAATAAATTATCAGTATTAAGCCATTGATAAAACCCACTTTCAATCCCTAAGTATTGAAATTCCCATTTAGGTTTATATGTTTCAATGAAAGTCATTATTTAATCATGTGGTCACACATGGCCTGTAGCCTCCAAATCTATTAGCTTTAATTGCAATCCTCTGATTTCATCAAAAATTTCTGATTACACTAGATTAAAAAGTGTACAAACAAAAATAAATATCCTTAAGCCCAAGTCTAAAACAGATAATTTTGGAGGAAAGATAACTTCTATAATTTGCACTAGACTCTATATCATGAGATAGCAAAACATTTTAATCAGCTTTTTCATTAGGTCCATCTTCTGCCATCATCAGTTCTCTTGTGGCCTGAGTAAAAGATTTTAATCAGCTTTTTCATTAGGTCCATCTTCTGCCATCATCAGTTCTCTTGTGGCCTGTCTTAAAGCTACATCCACTTTTGCCCACTGTCTTGTTTCTATTAAAAAAATTAAACCAATCCCATATAAGATCTGTATACCAGCACATTTACTTATGTAGAAAAATCTTAACAATCCATTATATATGTAATGTTTAACTCATAAATGAGATTATACTATTGAAGCAGATTTTCACAGATATGGCTATATGCTTATGTAGATAAAGTTCTGTGACATACATCATGATATATTACAGAGTACAACAGATGTGTACTAATTATTGCAGACTGGACTATAGAGAATACTACACACAACCAGAGGCGTAGCAAGGGGGGGCGGAGGGGACGACATATGTCCCTGGGCGCAGACCTTAGGGGGGCGCCAAATTGAAAGTTTGAGGGGGGTATAAATGAAAAGTTCGAGGGGGGGGGGTGGGGTGGAAATGAAAAGTTCGAGGGGGGGTGCAAATGAAAAGTTCGAGGGGGGGGGGGTGCAAATCAAAAGTTTGATGTTTGAGGGGAGGGTTGCAAATGAAAAGTTCGAGGGGGGGGGGTGCAAATTGAAAAGTTTGTCCCCGGGTGCCGGGTAGGGTCTCTACGCCTCTCCACACAACACAAATGAACTAAAACAAACCATTGATTATAATATATTATCTTAACTGGTTGATTTTCCAGCCCAAGTTACATGTGTTTATTTTCATTAGGCTTGAATGAAAATTTCAGCTTAAATATTTTTGAAGTTATCAAATGGTAAATACAATTGGTTTTATATTAAATTTCTGCTTCAGGCATTTTAAGAAAAGTATAGGTGCTTGAATATAATTTTGTCAAACCCAATAATATAGGTAGCTTAAGTAGGTAAACTCTAAGCTTTTGCCTAGTGGACTATAATAACTTGGACTTAATCAAAACAAATTGCAATAATGAGATCTCACCTGTGTCTCCTGGTGAACTTGTCCTTGAATTAGATCTTTTAATCTTCTCATACAACTGGTCCATATTTATGCCAACCTTGTTAGCTGTTGATGCCAATTTACGGATAGAGAAACCATATACTTAGACGTGAAATTACGTCTTTAGACAAACAAAAAGTTGCTTTTTTTAAAAAAAAGTCATATAAGTTATAATCACTAGTCTATGATAACATCCATTCACTGAAGATATTTTTATCTAAAATTATAACAATTTAAATCTTTTCTATATTATATTTTACAATTTTTACTATGATAAGTAATACATCCAATGAAGATGTGTTTAAGTGAAATAAATACAATGAGATATATTCCTATAATTCTGACTATTTCTTTATATCACCTTTTTCCTCCCAGCTGTATCTCATGTGATCAGAAATTCTCTCCCCTCGTTTCCTGAGCTCTTCTCTAATTTTCCTTTCATTTTGTTCCTTCAGTTTAAAATGCTGCCGCTGGTCAGTTTTGGACCAACTTTGACGCTCAGTCTAGAAAGAAAATTTTATTTTTATTAATTTAACAATATACAATTAAAATTTATTTACAATGATGATCTTAAAAATTTTCTCGAATGTTAATTATTCATAAATTATACAACATAAAAGAATTAAATTGTAGTTCAGCATTCTGTTTTTACTGTTTTATAAGGGGAGGAGTAGGTATAAAGCAATGTTATGTCACAATGCCTTTTGATTTTCTTGATTTCTTTAAAAAAAAGTTTTAAAAAGAATGGTTTGCTGAAAAAGATCACATAACAAGCTTACATATTCATTTTTAAAAACACTTTTCTAATCTTTCCAATAGTTCCTAATGAAGGAGTAACAAGAAATATTCTCTAACTTAATCATTTAATGGACTCCCATAATTAACTTTAAAATCACAGGTTTTGTAGTTCCCAAATGTGTGATGGTTTTTTTGGAAGGGAGAGGGGGGTGGTGGGTCCTAGAAATGTTATTTGATATGTTATACTTAATGTTATACAGGTTATGGGGTGGATAACAATATCATAGTTTTGTGACATATGTATATATATATATATATATATATATATATATATATATATATACATACATACATACTAGCTATAAGATTTACACACATTTGTTTTAAAACTTCAGGAAAAGATGACTCAAAGTACTTCTGAATAATTTCTTGATATTTCAAAAGTTAAAAGAACAGTTAAAAAGAATTTATTTTCTTTAAAGAGATTCATGATGTACAGTCTATATTTTTGTTGTAATTGCAGTTGTATTTGAAAAAAAAAGGGAGATAAGAGATACTGATAGTGTGAATATGTAAGGAGTCCAATTCCTGGCTCTGTACTGTTAGTAACTTTAGTTTAGCTCTCTTCAGAACTGAGAGTCCTCAATAGTTTAAAATTAAAAAAAAAATTAGTTTTCAATTTGTTACACTGTCATCAAAATATATTCAAAAAGAAAAAAAAAAGAACAACATAAAAAACAAACCCTTTGTTTGGCCTGTAGTTGTAACAGTTTCTCTTTTTCTGTGTTTTCATCTTTTGATAAGGCTAGCTGTGATGCCACCAGCTGCAAATCTTGCAACTCTGAAAATGTTGATTTAAAAATGATAAAGAAGACAACATTTATCAACAAAATAATGTAGAGCTCTGTGCTTTTTGCTATAGTTCTTTAAAATTAAAAAAACATTTTTTTATTCATTTACCTTTAAAGTTATCCAATAGTTTAAGAGCCACAAGGTTCACAACTGCAATCCAACATGGCATCTTTAGCAAAGGGACATCAGTCTTGTAAAAACCAATGGATGTGATACACCTGTGTCGTAATTTCTCCACAGAAAATGTTCTTTTCCTCATCTCAAGGATGATCAAGCTTTTGAATTCATTGATGTCAAAAACCTGTTTTTAAAAAAAAACATGAATTCTCTATGAAATTTTATTGTTTCTTTGTAATTATTTTGTAACATTTTTCTTAAAACATAAGTCCACCCATCAGAGTTGGGTGGACTTAGGGACATGAGTCCCAACCAAGATCCGAACTCAGACCTTAGAGCTAGAAGTTGAATGCTCTACCATGATGTACCCATATATATATATATATATATATATATATATATATATATATATATATATATAAATATATATATATATATATATATATATATATAAAAAACATTTTTATATCTCCCCCCTCCCAATAAAAACCCTCTCCTGGCTACACCATTGGTGACTGTTACTTTAATTTTTCTTTGTTTAAACTGTTACATTTTTACTAAACAAAAATATTTATTCAGCTTCATTCACTCAGTTAACTTAAAACTACCTTGATGAACTTGTTCATTGGAACCTGCCCTCTTGCTAAAAGCACATCAGCGGATAGAACAGCCTCATACTGTTGCTGTCTAACAGCAACGGGCATGTGGCACAACTTCTTGACCAGGATATTACCACTTGAGTCATGCTGTAGTTCTATGCCCTGTTGATTTGATCTTACTTTATTATCTGGTATGAATTTTTTACTATGTTGCAAGTGTCATGTACAACAATAAGTAGTAGACTTATGTTATTATAAAACTTTATGTGTATTTCAGTGTTATTATTTAAGTTATACAAAATAAACTATTGTGCTATAGAGTATAGAGTCCACAAGAACTAAAGAAACTAATGTTTAGACTATCTTTAAAGAAATTTTAAATTGTAAATACATTTTATAGCTTGAAATTTATTAGACTTCTTACATTATCAGGTTAAGTGAAATCAAGAAAAATTCAAATTGTGTAATTTATTTTGTTTAAATTTATTCATAAAATTTATTTTAATTTTTTTTATTACAGCTTAACATATATATTAAAAAAAAACAACTATCCTGATATTAAATAAAACATTACTGTGTTTAAATAAAAATATAAAAGTATGTTTAAAAAACTTTTTTTATTACTAATATTGTAAAAATCCAATATTTTATGTAAAGAATGTGTTAAAAAATTAATTTCTCTTACTCTTTGGAGATTATTTATAATGTATTGAGTTTCATTTATCCTCTCAGCATTGAAGCAATAGCCAAGTCCAAGTCTGTTAAAAGCAACAGAGATTGAAGCATGTACAATGTGTATTCTTAATGTAAATCTTACAATTTATAGCAAATTTACATTTATCTTGTCCATTTAACTAACCATGAATTTGAGGATCATTATGCTTATTTTTTTTACTTTGATCTTTGTAACTAAGTACATTTCACATATAATTTTACCTATAATTTTTAAATTCTAACTCGCATACTTTAAAAATCACTTTGTTTTTTCCTAGCATCTTGAAATGTTTAATTAAACAGATAACTTATCTTCTCCAGTTATTGTTGATAACAAAGCTCACACAAATATGTTGTTAAACTATCACCAACACCTAGCCTGAATGACTGGCAGTTATAATTCCCTGGATACAGTCCAGGGGAGACAATCACAAAGAAATGTATCTAACATTTCCATAGCAGGACCTATACGCACACCACACTACTGAATACATAAACTAAATGTTAAAGACTTCTAGGACTTACTCAAGGCCATCAAAGGGTTCACTGGAGCCAGAGACTAAAAGAGATTTCTCCTCAGCATAAAATTTGGTGACTTTCTTCCCTTGTTCCATGTACAGAACTTTGGCCCACACTGAGGAGGGTAGCTGCAGAATTCTCTGTAAGGTTTTGTTGATAATATGCTGAGGAGTTAAAAGATTATGATATATTTTAATCACACAGTTGACATATTCTCTGTAGGGTTTTGCTGAGGAGTTAAAAGATTATGATATATTTTAATCACACTGAGGCCATATTCTCTGTAGGGTTTTGCTGATAATATGCTGAGGAGTTAAAAGATTATGATATATTTTAATCACACTGAGGTCATATTCTCTGTAAGGTTTTGTTGATTATATGCTGAGAAGTTAAAAGATTATGATATATTTTATCACACTGTTGCCATATTCTCTGTAGGGTTTTGCTTATGATGTGCTGAGGATATGACATGCAGAGGAATTAAAAGACTATGTTATATTTAGCCCACACTGAGCCCACATTCTCTGTAAAGTTTTGTTTACAATATGCAGATGATTATTATATTTAGCTCACACTGATGAGGCAACTGCAGAATTCTCTGTTACATTTAGCTGTTTTAAGGCACTGGGCAATTTTAAATGCAGCAATTAGAACAAATCTAAAAATTTAAATAAAATATAATAACTTAATTGGATTTTCAGTTGTCCCATTACTAGAGATTTTATATTTAACATCATGAGGCAATCATTAGATTGTAATTTCCAGGAGAAAAGAACAGAGGGCCAGCCAAAGCAATCCTGTGGAAGGAATGTGGAAGGATAAGCAAGGGCTGCTTGGATTAAGTGGGCACAAATAAAGAAAGCTGCCTGAAACAGAGTCCGGCTGAGAGATGGGGGCTGCAGCCCTTTGCCCCTAAGGCAACCACTGAGATAAAATATTAAAAAAAACCCAGATATTTAACAAAACATACTCAATTGTTGATGATTTTACCATGAGAAGATGGCCACACACAATCCACACACCAATCACTGACACTTACCTCATAGAGCTCTTCTTTTTCAGGATCTCTATAGTCTTTCTGTAACTCTGGTCTGACAAATAAAAAAAAAAGTGATTTTTAAAAGGATAAATCAATTTATAAACTGCCACTCTTATGTTCATACTGTCAAATCTGAATACCATTGATAAAGAAGGTTACCCAAAACAAATCATAATCTAAAAAGATTATGTCAAAGTATTTATCAGTTACAAACCTTTTTCTTAATAAGTTAAAATATATTTTTGAGAATATATATATATATATATATATATATATATATATATATATATATATATATATATATATATATATATATATATATATATACATATATATATATATATTTATTTATTGATACATATTTGTAATAGGTGTGTTAATAAAAATTGTAATTGTAACCTTAAAACATAAAATTAAATTTTGATAAAAAAAATTGTGCTCTACTTGGCAAACAGGCTCCTTGGGCTACCCTTATAATTCGGAGCCCAGTCCCGCATCGCAAGTTTGTAAGTTACCACATCACGGAGTTTATTTCTGGTCAAGTAACCCCTGACACAAGCTTGTGTTAGAGTTATCTTCCATAGATATTTGTCAATCTGGGTGTCAAGTTTTTCTTTATGCCAGTACATCAGAAACACCTGGGGATTTTCACATTTGTTTTAAATTAAATCATTTCACACATTTAACTACAGGTAAAAGATGAAATAGATTTTTTTTAAACTATGGAAAAACCGAATGGAAGGCAAGGAAGCCTTTTAATAAAACTAAGCTTAACACCACTTAGTAAACATATGTAAACAATAGTTACAATACTGTTACATATTCCAAGAAAAATATGTAACAAAATTTAAAAAAAAAATGTAATTATAGAAGTCAGGGAAATCATTCAACAAAACTAAGGTAATCACATTTTTGTAAACAACAATACTAGCTTTTTTATTATATTCTGCCCAAATATGTTAAGTAAATTACTTACAAAATTTATAGTTACAGCAGGTCCTTTATCTAGAATGCCACACTTGGCCAAAATAGATTTACATGTATTTTCATCTTGAGGAACATCTGTTAAGATGTTGCTTAGAAGTCTGCCATATCTTTTTATAATGAAACAAAACATACAATTCTTAATAATTTCCCAGTTTAATAGGAAGGAAACCATTGATGCACAAAAAGAAAGGAAAACAATGAAATATATCATTTTGGATATAATGTTAACTATGCAGAGTTATGAAATTCAAGTTCATGTCTAGAAATTTTAAAATAATTAACAACATTTAAAGCTCAATCTTTATAATAATTTTATGGGACAATTAAGGCACTTAAGATATAGCTAATAGTTTATTTCATTAAAACAATAATATGTAAAATAATTTAATGTTTTTGTACCTGTTGACAAAGTTAGGTATAGGTAACCAGTTGGAGTAACCAAACTTTTTATGGCGCACCAAATCCACCAAATATGAAGATTTTACTTGTGACTTAACATAGGCAGGATCAAATTCTTGACCATGGAGACTAGGCTTGATACACCTTTAATAAAACAGTTTTAGACATGTTTAATTAAGTTACATTTTAAAATGTGTTAAATTAAATACGTGTCTATAACAAAAAAATGGTAGCATGTATGATATTTTAAAAAGTTTTGAATGAGGAATAAAGCAATTATGTAACTGTACCATGTTAGAGGTAGTCAGTCTATGATGTGAGAAATAAAGCAGTTAAATGTTACAGTCAGTCTACTTTATACCTGATAAAGCTGGGTACACATGAGGACAAATAGTCTGTGAATTGTTTTAACTTGACCTTACAAAAATGAATTTATTTTTATAAAATGTATTAAAAAATAAACAAAATGTTAATATTGAAATGTTTAGTAATTCTGTATTTAAAAATACACTAGTACATAAATATTGAAGCATTTAACGACTATGCCTTTGAATTGGTGTTTAAACTTTTTCTAAATCATCATTATTGTATATTTAAGAGCAAATTTATATAATGTTGTTTGACAAAAAAAAATCTGGTTAAATTATTATTAAAGTTTAAAAATGTACCTTTATATATGATATATAAGATAAGTTGGTAGGAGCATTAGGGTCTGAGAATCTGCAACATTAAGTATATATGTTAATTAAAAATTACAATTTTTGCCTCATCAAGGGAGATTATAAAAGAAGTTACCTCCCATGTTATCTCTAGTAATTAATATATTTAAATAACCATAACATTAACAATGAAAGGATTTTTAAAAAGTTAAATATTTTCTTATTAGCTGTCAATATTATACTAAGCACATATTGATATTTTAATGAACGATCTACAATTTCATCCGTATAGAAATAAAATGCTAATACTACAATCAGTAGCGTAGCGAGGGGGGGGGGGCGCCAAATTGAAAGTTTGAGGGGGGTGCAAATGCAAAGTTCGACGGGGGGGGGGGGGGGGGGGTGCAAATCGTAAATTTGCTCCCAAGGGGGCGCCAAATTGAAAGTATGTCCCCGGGCGCCGGGAAGGGTCGCTACGCCTCTGACTACAATTTGTAAATGAATACATACTCCATCACAGAGGGCTGGTAAATGTCTTTTACAGTTGGATTCATCGAAGCAGCGAGCAATCTCTGCACATCACGATTAGGGATGATGCGATTGTCATATTTAAAGTGGTCATTTACACTGTAGGTAACCTGTTGATTCAGGCGTTATAAAATTTAATTTGCAAATAATAAGCAGTTAATTTATTTATCCTAACGATTGCTAGCTAGCCTTATCCCTCCATCCACTTTGGCTTTTCAGCAGCCTTCACTTTCCATAATGTCTTTTTCTTCTTCTTCGTTCTTAATTATTAGTGTTGAGGGGATCGAGATTTATCTGCCAGTGGAATTGAACTCGAGACTTTGTTTGAATTTATCAACCATGAGCTTTTTGCCGACTCGACCACGCCTCCAACACAATTAAGCATTACGTGTCAACTGGTTATGCGCCATTGAGGCCATTGACTCCGATTTTAGCCTGCTTTTCTTTTTGGATTTGCTTCCATAGCCTTTGTCCAACCAAGAACAAACTACAAGGCAGCAGTTGTTTTTAATTTTGGAGTTGTCTCTCCTAGAAGAGTGGCTGTCCCCAGCTAACGAGCCTCATCTGCCAGAGGGTTCGAACTCGAGACTTTTCGGTTTAGCAACCATGAGCTTTACCGACTCGACCACGCCAACCCCCCTAATGTGAGTTAGGTACTCATCAGAGCTGGGTGGACTCTGGGACATTCCACAGTCTTGAACCTGATTTTGAACTCGATACATTCAGGTTAGCAGTTTAGCCCTCTACTGCTAGGCCATGCTGTCACATAGTGTAGTGATAAGTAGGGAAAAAATACAAGTGGGAGAATGGTAAATGTTTCAAATGAAATAAGCAACAAGTAAGTGTGGAGGTGAGTATTTTACTAATAATAAGCTGCACTGATTGAGAGTGATTAGGATGATAAAATAAGTGATTTTAATAGGATAGTTTGAGATAACTATAGTCAAAGTAGATTTCTTTTTGTTAAAGCTGGAAAAAGTACTTTGAAATTAAAAACAAAAAGAATTTTTTTTCTAAATTAATACAGACTAGGAAAGATAACTGTATTCAGTTAATTTAAAATTATACTTTCAAGAATATAAAAACAAAATTATATCCAGGTCTACAAACCTGTTGATGGGAATGCACTATGGCAAAATGTTGTTTCCCTGCAATTTTGGATTGAATGTAAATATTTTTCATCTTCTTGAATTCTTTGTCCAAAGTTTTTATAATGGTTTTCTTCTTTGAAGGTGGGCTGTAGGAAAATGACTCTATGTGCATCAACAAACCAGTGGGCACCTGCGATAGTAAAATAAAGCTGGTTAACTTTTGTATAACTTATTGAATCTCATGTTCTGTATAGTTTAATGCAGGTATTAAATGGATATCACAATCACTTTTAAAAGAAATTAAAAAAAAATTGTTCTGAATATTTTAAGGCAATCAAAGAATAGAGCTATTTGATAAAAACATTTATGTGATTAGGCATAGCACATGAAGAAAAACCAATTAAAAATACACTGGCTGCTACTTAATTAGTTTTTTAAAAATAGTTTGTAGCAAAAATTAGATTTTAAAATATATATTAGTATATTCAAACAAAATACTAATTATTAAAAAAAAAATTATAAAAAAAATTAAATGTTTCATTAAGTGAGTTTCGTAACTTACTTCAGAACCACCAAAGGCTAAATCGTCTAAGTCTTCACAAGCCTGTCTCTTTAGATCCATGGACTTAAGACCCTCTCTGCTGCACATGGCTGTCTCTCTGTTGATGCTGATGGCTTTTATAAAAACTTGAACTTTCTCTGCCATCATGTTTTGACACAAGACTGTGACTCGTGAAACAAGTGGCTGTTCATTAAAAGCAGGCATCTCTGCTATGAGGATTGGTACACACTGGCGAGGCCTGCAGAGATTTATTTAAGTTAAAACAAGAAATGAATTTCATTAAAAGTAATGGAAATTTAAGTTAAATGAAGCAAACTTGATTTGAATACAAGATATGAAACAAATCAGCATTACCCCTTGTAGGTCTGGTCACACAAAATAATGGCAAAAAGCATCACAGTCAGCTAAGTCTCAAACGTGCTTGAATGATTTAAAAAAATATATTTTCCCCCTTTTGTTTTCTTTGTTCTTAATTGTAATGTTGGAAGAAAATTCCTCCAACACAATTAAGTATACGTCCCAACTGGTTATGTGCCATTTAGGCAGTTGACTCCATTTTTAGCCTTTTTTTCTGGATTTGGTTCTATAACCTTTGCCCATCCAAGAACAAACTACAAGGCAGCAGTCGTATGATTTTGGAGTTGTCTCTCCTAGATGGGTTGCTGTCCCTAGCTATGGAGCCTTATTTGACCAGGGGTACAAACCTCAGTCTGTATGGTTTACCAACCATGACCTTTACCAGCCCAACCACGCCAACCCTTTTCCCACCATTTATAACATTTTTGAATCTGAAATGAAAGTTGAAGCTTACTCATCAGGCAGCCATTTGTTTATCTTTGTCTCCAGCCACTGAACAGTTCTAAAGTACAGCTCATGAACAACTTGATCCCTGGCCAGTACTAAATTTCCAACAGGTGGGACATCTTGAAATAAATTTAAAAGTAACTGAAGTAACAATGTTAAAAAATAATTTTTGCTTGTTAACAGAATTGAATGCATTTGGCAAACTACCATATTTTGAAAAATCAAAGCAAAATAAAAAATTCAAATGTATCCCAAGCTAAAGATCATTCAAAAGTAAAACTAAGTATCAGAAAATAGTTCCTAGGATAATGTGCAAATACAAACAAACTATACAAATATAATTTAAGAGATTTGGTCATATTTCATAGAGAAATGGAACAGTTTTCCATTGCATATCTTTCTAGCCACCACAAAAAAAAAACAATAACTGTTAGGTCATCATTTGGAAAAAGTTTGAACAGGACCAGAGAACACTACAAGTATTTTATAAAAATTGATTAACAAGGTAAAAAGGTGAAGATTGTTTAATGAACAAAATTGTGTCTATTTAAATAAATATCACTGTTCACAGACTTTATTTTCTCAACTATATAGTTATAAGGTATAAGCCTTACCATTTTCTGAAGCTTTAGTCAAGGAATTAAACAAAGCATGTTCTGACACACCCAATAATTTTGCAGCTAAGGGAATAGAAAGTAATTTTATCTTGTATGTTTTGAAAGCTACAGATATAACACGACATTAATTTTTTAAAAGTCGATATGTTCAATACAGTTATGAGTAATTTAAATGGCATTTATAAGCATAATTAAATATAATAAATGATAACAATTTTTTGTCTTTTATTGTGTGATAAAAAATGTATGAACAAGATTGCAGATATTTTAAAAAGATGAGATTCAAACAACAAGATAACAACTATGAAATCAGTACAAAAATAAAATCAATTTAAGTGGAATTTAAATTTTAATGTATAGTGTTTTAAATTACAAAATGATCATTTAGTGCAGGGGTCTCCAAACTACGGCCCGCGGGCCAGATGCGGCCCGCAAGGTCTTCTCATCCGGCCCTCGGAGATCTTTTTGTCCACAGAAAATTTTTTTTGTTGTAGGTGGCTGCGAAAAAATGCCACCCCAATAAGATGCCTGGAAGAAACTCTGGCCCCCGAACTTATATTTAATAGTTAATGCGGCCCTCGGGCTGAAAAGTTTAGAGACCCCTGATTTAATGTTTATATAAAGAAAAAAACCAAATTAAAATACCAAACGTGATAAGCTCATAATTTTCAATTGCCACTTTTTTCGTCTGAGCATTGACTGTAAATCGTAAATTTGCCAGAAGCAGCAGAGCTAGAAGTGAATCTAGGAAACTGTTGGATGTGGATCCACCTCTTCCAATAATTATCTGAAAGTAGATTCAACCCTCATTATCATTTCAAAAATATATCTAAGTAATTTAATAAACAAAAACAACATTTTAATTATAAAGCTGAAAGATTTGATCTTTTATTACAATATAAATAAATTTTGTAATATTTTAATTTATTTGCTTCTGTTTTACGACAGAACTTACAGAGTTAAAGGTGTCTCAGACATTCTATTAATCATAATTTTAAGACATAATTAGCTCAACACATGTAAAGACAGTAACAATAAGTAAATTAATATACCCTTTTATATCTAAGCATTAAATCTAATTTTTCACCATATTTCACTACAATTTCATCAAATAAATCAATAAAGTGACTTACGTTTTCCCCAATGCCAAGATATGTCACCACTTCTACCAAGTGTGACCAGTTGCTATAGTGTTGGTTAAGAAGTTCTCTGCTCATATTTTTTAGTGAAGGATCAAGCAAATTTAAAATTCTAAAAAAAATTATTTTTAAAAATATACTGTAAAAAATCAAGCAAATTTAAGATTCTAAAAAAATTCATAAAAAAACGTTTTAATAACAAGCTTTTATGTAATAATGCACTAAAAAGTAGAAAATAAATTATAGACTACTATTTAAATAAGTATAAAGAAAAGCGTGGGTCACTTCAGTATATATTGGATACCTTTACTGATGTTAAGGAAGACACCCACGCTTTTCTTTATAGTTATTTAAATAGTAGTCTATAATTTATTTTCTACTTTTTAGTGCATTATTACATAAAAGCTTGTTATTAAAATGTTTTTTTATGAATTTTTTTTCAGTACTTTACATGTTTTATTTACAATAGAGTTACATGACTAAAAACCATTGCGCGCCTACTGAACGCGATGGCGCAGCTATTGAACGTGATGACGCGTGTGGTGTGGTTGGATAGACATGCCTACTAATTCGGTCCAAATTTTAATTAATTCATAAAAAATTAATTAGGTATCCAATTAAGTCAAATTTAATTTCAGTTTGCATTGTCTTCATGTCTTGACCCACGTGCCAACTGTAAATCATATCGATCAAGTAGAAGTGTCCGAATTTTCACTTCCGCGTTTCGATCTAGACAGACTGACGACTGTCGACAGAGGAAGTGAGTTAAATAAAAGCTTGTAAAAAAAAAAGGAATTTTAAAAATATACTGTAAATTTTTTGGATCATTGTAACTAATAAAAGAATTGCAAGTTAAAGCAACAATCTTTAAATCCAAATACATGTTTAGAGATGTTTGTAAATATTTTTTTAAGGAAAATATTTTGTTCATTAGATGTTTGATGATGTTTCAAGTAATAATATCCAGCATGACACATTTCTCTGTAAAAATATTTTTTATAGACCTGATAGTCCTAAGGGGAGATAAATTAGATTCTACCAGTTCCTATGATATTGGCACAAGAAGGGATTATGTGATTAACCAAAAAGTGCAATCTTTCTCCTACTTAATCCATGTACTTATCAAACATGGGTAGATTCAGGGACATCTTACAGACTCAAGGGTGGGAACTGAACTTAAGACTTTTAAGTAAGCAATCAAGTGCTCTGCCACTCAACCCTATCATACACCTAAGTCATTTGATCTGACTAGTGTTTTTGTTCTATATTTTGGTACTGATAATTAAACTGCTCCTTAAAAAGAGGAGATGGATGAAATTTTTTTTTATTGATACCTCTCAGGGTGTACATCTAATGTTAGTCCTAGACCACCTTTGTATAGACAGGCCACAATGTCATAAAAGATATTGAGAAACCCAGGCTCATCATTGTGGTGTATTGTGTATCTTGGTGCTAGAAGATGGGACTTGACAGCAGCTGAGGACACATAAACAAGTTTACAACCATATTATAGAAATAAATTGGTATAAAAAAATTAACTACATCAGAGACTGGTTGTCAGTGTAGATTTGTACATGACTGGACTAAACAGTAGAGTCAGACATAGGACGCATTTGGGTTAGTTGCTATTTTTTTGGTATTTAGGGTTAATTGGTATTTAGGGATAGTTAGTATTAAGGGAGAGTTGGTATTGATTTGGTCCAAGAGTATTTTGCTGTTATTTAATTTGCTTAATATGTATGTGTGTGAGTATGACGCAACCAGTACCAAATGACATAGGAGACAAGACTAGAGAGAGACAGTTGGTGGCCCATATTCCAGCATATCGAAAAACTCTAGAGAGCTGTAGTTGGTGGCCTATACTCCAGCAGGACAGAGAACTCTGGAGAGCTGTAGTTGGTGGCCCATACTCCAGCAGGACAGAGAACTCTGGAGAGCTGTAGTTGGTGGCCCATACTCCAGCAGGACAGAGAACTCTGGAGAGCTGTAGTTGGTGGCCCATACTCCAGCAGGACAGAGAACTCTGGAGAGCTGTAGTTGGTGGCCCATACTCCAGCAGGACAGAGAACTCCGGAGAGCTGTAGTTGGTGGCCCATACTCCAGCAGGACAGAGAACTCTGGAGAGCTGTAGTTGGTGGCCCATACTCCAGCAGGACAGAGAACTGGAGAGCCGTAGTTGGTAGCCCTTACCACAAGTGACAACAAAGAATGATCAAAGACAAGTAATCTATATATATAATTCTCTTCTGGGAGCCGCTAGAAAACAAGCTGCAAACGCGCCTAGAAAACAAGCTGTAAACGCGCTCCCTACCTCCCCACCCCTACATGGTTTTAGTGAGCTGTGTTCACTCTAAATGTTTACAAGCAGAGCCAACGATTTTAAACGTAGGGGGGGGGGGGAGGAAGGAACGGGGGGGGGGGGGGGGGTTATGGTCCTTAACGAGCCACTTATAGTGTTTTAAAGAAATATTTTCAGTGGCAGCGTTGGTACTGTCGAATTCACAAATTTTGAATAACTGAAAAGTAGAAAAAACAACAACTAAATAGCGGCGTATGTTATGCCGCGGGCCGGCTCGTAAAATATAATCTACCAAAATACTACATGAGTCAATTGATTGACAAAACAGAATCTAAAACAAGTCCTAACATTTGATTCACCTGATCTTAAGGTACCATCGTCCACAACAAACAGTGAAACAACAAACACACACGTGCTAGAGGCTGGGCTCACTGGAGTTTTGAAGGATGTTACACTCTTCAGAGCAAACAAACCCTGTAAAAAGTTGAACAAATTACTTTTTTTTGGCATTATATGGAGGTAAATGAACCCTGTAAATAGTTGGAAAAATTTCTTTTGTCGTTATATTTAGGTAAAATTGAAAATATTGCACCACTAGCTTGGATACCCTGGTAAAAAAGTTGCTTATGTTATATTATTACTTAGTTACACATTTCTTCATCAATAGCAGATTATTAGTGAGTAGACCTTGTATAAATTTATTCATACGAGAAAACGAGTACATGTTACCCTCACTCACAGCTAGTTATTTAAACCTTATATTGATATACATGAGCATCTAGAGAAGAAGAGGCAGTGTTTCTTTCAGGTGTCTGTCCCTCTGAGTACTCCCCTTCACTTAGTATTTATATAGAAAATATAAAAGCCTACAATATATAAAAGTCAGTGCTAGCCCTCACCCTCCTAAGTTTTAAGTCCTCCCCAGAGAAATCTTGCTGAAAGAAAACGTGTAAATAGAGGTTCAGGTGATAGATCGTGGACTTGCACAAGTACAGATAGTTATAAAATAAATGTAATTCAACAAAATATATATAGTAGGAGCATACTTTTGTTAAAACAACACAGACATCATCTTTGTATGAAGTGCCGGTTTCACGAAAAAACTGAGCCAGTAGTATCTCGGAAGTTTCTGTCTTACCTGAAATTGAAATAGAAAAGTTTAAATATTAAATTTTGAATTTTCTTTTTTTAAAGCTTGTTTTAAACAAGTAAAGGATTGAGATACCACACATTTTTTGTTGAAATAGTAGTAGTAGATTGAATTTGGTTTTTTTATGACAAAAAATTAACCATCTTTAGTCTAGAAAGTTTAAAGATTTCTGAATTTGTGTTAAGATGTCAGTAAATTAGAAATGTTTAAAGTGCTTATAAATACCTAGCAAACTTTTTTAATAGCTTAAACTCAAATTTAAAAATTCTGAATTTTACAAGAATATAATCTGTCTTGATATCATCTACTTTTCCTGTTGGTGCCCAAGACATATGGGGCAGATGAAGTAGAGCTCACCATTTTTAATTATCTCTGCATAAAGGGGATAATGTGTTCAGCACCATGCACTACTGATTTAAACCCAGATTCGAACATGAGACTTGCAGGTTAGCATGTAAGGCCGTGCCGTCCCTTTGATATAGATGTCGAATATGACTTCTAACCTATTCTGCTCATACATATAACCATGACTACAATTGCCTTCAAATTTTAATGGCATTAACTGCAGTTTTATGAATTGATTGTTAATTTATTATTATGTAATAAAAAAATAAGGTAATTCTAAAAGGGACCAGTTTATGTATGGGGAGTTATATTTATGATCTTTGTCTATTTCTGCAAGAAATTACCAGATCCTGATGCCCCTGATATGATGACAGTGTGTGCATGTCTAAAAGACTCATCTGACGCCAACACATCTTTGTACACTCTATGAGCAAGGGCGTAGACATGGGGAGGTGCGTTATCAAGTGGTTTTTTAGCACAGTATCTTAGTCCATTCTGGAATAATTAAAAAAAGTTAAGTTCCCTTTCAAAGCTGACGGTCTAAAGGGCAAGTGAAGTAGAGTTCACTTGTTTCTATGACCTCGGCATATGAAGAGATAGTATGGTCAGCACTATGCCCAGCCGCCTTTACTTTCCCTAATGTGAGTTAGGTACCCATCACAGTTGGTTGGACGGTCTGCTGACTTGAACCCGGATTCGAACTCGAGACTTACAGGTCAGCAGTCCAGCTCTCTAGCTCTAGACCACTTCGTCCCCTCTGGAATAATTAAGTTCTACTTGAAATATGTTAACCTTCATGAGGATGTAGAAAAAAAAGTCAAAGAATAGAGCAAATAGTTTAAGAGTATTCCATGCTAAGTTGGGGACCAGTTTTAGTTTTAAGATTTAACTGGCATAATTTATTTAGTATCATAGTTGTCATTATGGGATGGTTTGGCCTAAGCAGTACAGCACTATGCTGCTTACCCAAAGGTGTTCAAATTTGGGTTCAAGTCAATATAAGGTCCCAGTGTCCACATAGCTCTTATAGGTACCTAACTCATGTTAGGGAAAGTAAAAGGTGGCTGGGCAAAGTGTTGACCACACCTTCCCTTCATGCGCTGAGGTCAAGAAACATATGAACTCTACTTCATTTGCCCAATGGTCTAAAGAGGATTCTTTTCTTTTTTATAGTTGTCATTGAGATACAACCTTAATTTATTTACCCCCTACCTTAAGAAGAAAAACACCTTTAAAATTTGAACATACATTTGAATTGAAAGATATCAGTTACAGAATACTTGAATACATATTCAGTTTTCTATAGATTCTAGTCTAGGTATCTACCTTTGGCAAGTTTTCTGGTAAATTTATGTTGCTTTGTGGATTCACTGAAATGATACCATCTCCAAAATATGTCTGAAAGAAAAATAAAATAATTGCCAATAACTTTTAGTTTTAAAGCCTGTAATATGAGTCATGAGTATTTTACTTAGCCAAGTGGCCCATATAGATCTAACATTTTCATAAATTATATCAATATTAATATCATACGGGTCAATATACATACAGGCCTTAGGATTTTAGGCCTACAATCACTAATCTAGGTCTAGATAATCTGGAATCTAGATGATCTATTAACTAGATCTAGTAGTTTTAATACTGGTCTAACTAGTTAGTACCTAGATCTACATCTGCTACTCTACATCATATTGATCGTATTGTCACATTTTTGTTTTTGTGGTTTGGATACATACTAATACATAGGCCTAACAATGTTAGTAACATCATAATTCTTTTCTCAAAGAAGTGACAGATAATTGATAATAGATCTAGATCTAGTGATAGACGTTTCCCTAGGCTTATCTATTGGTAAAGTAGACCGATATCTAAATATTAATGTCTCTATGACTAGATCTGTGACTATAGTAGGGTAGCATACATTCGTAATTCGTAGGTTGGCCTGCAATGAACTACATGTAACATTTTGTCTTCTCACTTCTGCATGCTGTCCATTTTCATTGGCCGGTCACTTTTGGCTTCAGTAACTCAGTTTGTTGTGGTTTACTTCACAATATTTGTGTAATAATAATAATACAATACTCACTCACAATATCTACAAGATCAATATGAATATATTATAGATCAAGATCTAGAATCTAGATAGCTCCGGCTAATAATGTCCATCGCTCACTTATTAGGAACATCATTAAGATTTTTTGTGTGCATCAAACGTTAGTTAGCTTACGTAAAAACAGCGTTGTTTAAAACGTTCCTGTAAAGTTTCTGTGATGTCATCTTCGTCAGGATCGACAAGGTGGGTCAAATTTGGATGGTTTACTGCCGCTGTTGTCATGGTGACGACAAGCTAAGATCAGCTGTTCATCTGAGCGTGGGAAAAAAAACAACGTTTTAGCAGTGACCATTAGGCTGACCAAAGCTGACTCATCTCTAGACTATGACTAAGCTGACTCATCTAGAGCAGGGCCTTCTATAGAGGCCTTATCATGCCTTATGCTTCATACTATTACTCTCTATTATTTTTACAGTTTGTATTATGATATCCATATAACAGTAGGTTTATGCAGAGGCGTAGCGAGGGGGGGGGGGGAAGGGGGGACATATGTCCCCGGGCGCCGACCTTAGACCTTAGGGGGGCGCCAAATTGAAAGTTTGAGGGGGGGGTGCAAATCGAAAGTTTGAGGGGGGGGGGGTGCAAATGAAAAGTTCAAAGGGGGGGGGTGCTACGCCTCTGGGTTTATTTTTTTCACCACACATCCAACTCGCAAGTGTTGTTTGCACTGTTCCGTTAGAAGGTACCCTTTAATCCATTTCCGAGCATATCTACTGATATCTACCAATATATTTCTAAAGTAAAATGAACGGCGAGGATGTTTCAAATTTCTATATAGATTTCTAGATCTACCAATTTTACTTTTTGTATGCCCTACATAAGATCGGCGAATCAATTCTTTTTGCTGATATCGCTACTTTAGGCATGGGGTCGGCGTGGTAAAGCTCGGTGGCGTAGGCAGGGGGGGGGGTTAGGGGGGGGGGCAGAGTTTCTTTACCTCCCTCCCCCCGAACGAAATGAAATTTATATAAAATCGAAAGTTTGAGGGGGGCGGGGTGCAAATCGAAAGTTTGTCCCCTGGTAAAAATTGAACCCCCCTCCTTGAGACAATCCTGGCTACGCCACTGGTAAAGCTCATGTTTGCTAAACCAAAAGTCTCGAGTTCGAACCTTCGGGCAAAGAAGCAAACAATTGCTGCCTTGGAGTTTGTTCTTGTTTGGACAAAAAATGGAAGCCAATCCAAAAAGAAAAGCAGGCTGAAATCGGAGTCAACGGCCTATATGGCGCATAACAAGTTGACACGTTTTGGAGGAAATCTCTTCCAACACTAAAATTACAAACGCAGAAGAAGAAAGAAAAGGCATGACCTTAGCATTAGCTATACCGACAGAATGTAACATACATAGTTACCAAGATGCATTACCTGCAACTTTTACTTCTTTGCAAAAATAGTCTTTATGATATTCAGTGGTCATTACCAAATTAAAGGATATAAAGCATACAATATTTAGGCCCTAAGTCTTATGAACTTTAAGTTTCTAAACGCCATTTTTGTTAAAATTGCTGACTTTTCCTCTTTCTTGACAAAGATTATCACATTCCACTTAACTGAAGGACCTACTTCGCTTTACTATGAATCATGGTTTCATTCAACAACACATACACAGACGTATCATTAGTCATAGAGGCCTACACACCGGGTATAAGACGCAACAACACACAATGCTCCTCTCCAGCACATATTGGCACTTACACAATCACACATATTATACATATGTAGCATACAACACGCCAAACATATGTTTTCTACACTTTCTCCACAACACAACAACATATCCACATACATAAAAAGGCATTTATGTTCACATTAACACACACGCATAAACACACAATCGCAAGCGCAAGGTAAACACTAACCAACTCACTTTAATACTCACCCATATGTTTACACAAGTGTAAGTATACATACATGTCAGCATACACACATGTTAACATACACATGTGTAAACATAGGCTTACACACATGTAAATATACACACATTTAAGCACACACCCATGAACACATGTAAACATACACACATACACATGTAAGCACAGGCTTACACAATGTTAACATACACATGTAAACACACATACATGTAAGCATGCACGCCTACTCATATAATCACGTGTAAACATACACATGTGTAAACATAGGCTTACACACGTGCAAGCATACACACATATAAGTATACACATGAACACATACACACATACAAATATGTAAACATAGGCTTACACAGTGTAAACAAACACACATGTAAGCATACACATATGAACACATGTAAACATACACATATACAAACGTGTAAACACAGGCTTCCACACGTGTAAACATTCACGTGTAAACACACATACACGTAAGCATGCACGCCTATTCATATAATCACGTGTAAACATACACACGTGAAACAACACAAACGCATGTGTAAACACCCGTACTACACACAGATAAACCTACACACATAGATTCCAATCCATATAAAAATCACACACGCAAATACTAACCAGCAATTACACACAGAAAAACTTCAAAATATAATATAAATCCTTTCGCAAACAACGTATAGATAAAGAAAGAACAAACCACATATCTTTTTTTTCCCCGGAAAATGTACACGGATGTAATCTTATCAGTGACAGAATGGACGATTCGCGCAATCTTTTGTTATGGGGCCAGACTACAGCTAATACATCGATACACGCATACACAACAATAAAGCACAGGTGTGCTGTGTAATATATTACATCGTGTAGGTTTACTTTGTTGGTGTGCAGCATAAACTCGTGGTCTAATTATAGATTTGGTAGCTAAAACACGTGACTTCATTGGTCGATTGATTTCAAGCGATCACTAATTTAATTTGATGTTTTTAGTACTCATGATTAACTTTTCTTACATTTTTATGCATCCAACCATCTATCCATTAGACAATTCAACCCAGTAGCGTAGCGAGGGGGGGGGCGGGGGCGAGGGGGGGACATATGTCCCCGGGCGCCGACCTTAGGGGGCGCCAAAATGGGTTGGAAAAATAAATTGAAAGGTTGAGGGGGGTGCAAATCGAAATCTTGAGGGGGGGGGGTGCAAATAGAAAAGTTTGTCCCCGGGCGCCGGGAAGGGTCGCTAGGCCTCTGATTCAACCTTCCATCCATACACATCCACCAATCCGTTAATTCATCCGTGCACCCATCCAGCGATCCAGTCAAGTGTTACCGTCACAGGTGAATGGTTCTACTCCACCTGCCTATATGCACACACGTTTCCTGCTTTTTATAAACTACCTACAACTAATATCTCTCTTCACACACAATCTTTAACTCACCTTATAGGCCTATTGTGAAGGTTAACAAAACACAACTGTTCATATATTGTATTCGGTTTACAATAATAACATATTTCAGGATTTATATTTCACCAAATTAAAATAAATAATCACAGTTCGGTTTTCAACAAGTAAACTTTATCCACAGTATTTTCAGTATCCACAGTAACCCCAGTAAGCACCTTATCCACAATATCGAAAGTAACCACCTTATTCACGATATCAGCAATAAACACGACGCAAGAGAAAGAACAACCTAATCATGAGGTTGTTAAAAGTTGATATCCGGGTTGTGGGGTTTTTACTACATAACGATAAGGCTGGTCTTTGATATCACGTCATCATGGGGGTGGGGTGGAGGTGGGGGTACGGCATTCTGATACATCCGCTACCACCTTGTCTTTTATGGCCTTTTGTCGCGAGAGTTGGGGCATTTACAGACGCCTTAGCTTTTATATAGCTATATCAGGGAAAAGGGGGGGGGGGGGGCTAGTCTGTGTGTGTTAGGGGGGGGGGGGGGGATCCATAAATCGCTACCGCGTGCAAGAGGGGAATTTGTGTGTACGGGATAGATGGAAGATACGTGGATACACGTTGTCTTATAGCATGTCACCAAACGTGAAAGGGGGGGGGGGGGGGCAGGTGGTGTGTGTGTGTGTGGGGGGGGGGGTCCACACGGATACACCATGTCCTATATCACATCACCACCTTGGAGGGGGAAGGTGGGGGAGGGGTCACCGTGATAAACATTGTCTTATATTACGTTTACCTGATGGAAGGGGGGGGGTGCAGGTGGGGGTCCACACTGATACACCTTGTATCATATGAACTTATATATCACATTGTCTTATAACATGTCACCACATGTGAGGGGGGCAGTTAGTGTGTGTGTGTGTGGGGGGGATCCACACTGATATAACCGTGTATCATATGAACGTATATATCACGTTGTCTTATAACATGTCACTGATACACCTTATATCACATGAACGTATATATCACGTTGTTATCAGACGTGTCGATCAACCAGGAAGTCACGCCTGACGTTCTTGTCCTTTGAAGTTGCTGAACTTTGACCTTTGTGGAGTTTCTTTTTTAAAATAATTTATTTGCGCGACACGAGGCCTTTTATACCAGAAGAATGGGGAGGAGGTGGATGTGGTAGGTAAATAATTACCTGTGTGAATTATTATTGGAACTGGTTTAAAGGGTCAAATGACGTACATGGTTGTATAGGGGTTATGGAGGGGTTTGAATTACGTACACGGGTTTTATAGGGAAATGGAGGGGTATATGGTTTGATAGGGGTTAAAATTACGTGAATGGTTTTTTATAGAGGAATGTAGGGGTTTAAATTACCAGTGTTTCTTCCAGACTTTTTTCTCCGGGGGGGCACTTGAAATTTTCGGGGGGGCGGTAGACTTTCTTCGGGGGGGCGGACACTGTTAAAAGTATATATAAACTATATAAACTATATAAATTTCATTTCGTTCGGGGGGGGGGGGCGGTAAAAAAATTTCGGGGGGGGCTTCGCCCCCCCGAAGAGATGCCTGGAAGAAACTCTGTAAATTACGTACATGGATTTATAATTATACGGGTATAGAGTATATGCTTTTATAGAGGTTTAAACTGCGTTAAATGGTATTAACATTTATAGGGTATGTAGGGGTTTAAATGACTGCATGGATTTAAAATTTAAAGGGACATAAAAAGAAAGTAAAGAACCCTCTTTAGATCTAGCGGTCCTTTTGGCAGATGAAGTAGAGTTCATGTTACTTGACACCAGCATTTGAAAGCATGGTGTGGTCAGCACCCTACCCGGCTGCCTTTAATTTTCCCAGTACAAGTCAGGTACACGTCAGAGGTGGGGGGGGGACGGGGGGGACGTTCTCCAAGCATGGGTCTGAACCGAGATCCGAACTCTCTACCAAACGCTCTACCATTTGACCACGCTGTCCAATTATATAGGGGAATGTAAGGGTTGAATTTATGTCAGGAGCTTAGACACTCTAGGCAAAAGAAAAGGCATGTTAGCGTTGATCGGAGCGGGCTAATCAACTGAGAAATAATTGATAAGAATTCAACATAAGGGAGGTAAGAAAGTAAGCCCAGTTTAATAACTTAAGTTTAACTGGGCTTTTAAGCTTTTAGGACATACTTTTTAAAGCATGTTACGTAGGCTAAAACTAGCTGGGTTCAGTGTTTCTTTCTGGCATCTCTTCGAAGCGCATCTACCTCCTTCCCCCCTACCCCGGACGAAACATAATTTAGAAAATAAATAGGCTACTTTTACCAGTGTCTACCCCCTTCACCCCAAAAGTTTCACGTAACCTCCACCCCCCCCCCCCCCCCCTTCGGAGAAAACAGTTTGAAAGAAACACTGATTGAATCTAGGTTATACTTCCTTTCTTGGCATACGGTCTAGAAAACACTTCTTTTCTAGCTTCTGGTCAAGAGCCCGCCTTTTTTTTTTGTAGCTAAGGGTCAAGACTTCACTTTTCCAACAAACGTACATGCTTATCTATCGACATTAAAAAATTCGAGCTAATTCGTTTTCAAATGTTACTTCTAAGAGATGAAATTGGGTGTTGCAGTAATACTTTGCTATATAACATGCTAATTTTCAAAAAATTATATAAATTATTTGGCAAGCTCTAAAATTATGTTTTAGCTGTCAAAAATTAAAACAAAATATTAAGTATTGATTTTTACGTGTTTTGAATTTTTTAATTCAAGATAAACTATTGAAAATAATTTTTGAAATAATTAATAATATTAATTCATTAATCCATTCAAAGTTTTGGAAAAACTTCCGCCAGGGAGAGATAAAATTTTTCAAACTAAATGAATTTTTGTGATCATGTTTCCCATTGATAAAAAAACATGGCGGCTGCTTGTTTCTTGACTTCGCTTCAAGATTTTAAACTCATCATGAACTCCCAATATGCAACAAATATACAAAATTTCAAGTCTATTGTGTACGTACGGTTGGGAAGTAATGTATTTGCATTCAATTCTGACAGAAAAGTTTTGTGGCGGTAAGTAAATTAATTATTTTTAAAAGTTAAATCTAAGACCTAGCAAGCCTAGCCCCAGGGGACATTACTCCTACTGGACGATTTGGTAAACAGTAAACAAACGATTATCAAGTTCGACTTTACACTTTATTTCAGCATATTGCAACTAGATCTAGATATCTAATAGTTATTAGTAATAGATCTCAATCTACCTGATCCTAAATCTGTTCTTTATACTTCCTTAACTAGAGTCTAGATCTATACTGATCCCTCTAAATAAAAAATGACAGTGATTAGATTTAGTCATTTAGTGATTAGTGTATGTTTGTAGATTGTAGAGATCAGATTGCAAGTACTTATCTAATAATAATATCTAGTAAGTACTTCTAAGTACAAGTAGAAGTAGTGACTACGACTAGTCTAACTAAGTGCAGACTACTGAGGATGTTAGTGTAGTTCAGTTGAGCATAGTTACTGAAGTAGACTTAGTAGAGTAGAGAGTGAATGCAACATTGTGAGTGTAATAAATTAAAAAGTTAATAATAGGACCTAATGATAATTAATAATTAATGACAAAGTGACTAGCCGGAATAAGATTTTTCTATAATTCTAGATCCAGTGAGTAGGTCTCTGAGTCTATATATTTTTTTTTTCTAGATGTAGTTAACAACAGTGCTAAATCTAGTTAGTAACTTGTCTAGAGAAATCTAGATCTAGAATTATTTAGTAATTTAGTAGGCAATAATTATAAATAATAATATTATAATATTAATAAAATTAAAATGTTGACATCTGTTGCTACTGCGAACCTATCTAGATTTGATTTAAGAAGTAGATTTAAAGTTTAGTTGACTGCTCAAGATCAGTGTTTCTTCCAGACTTTTTTCTCCGGGGGGGCACTTGAAATCTTCGGGGGGGCGGTAAACTTTCTTCGGGGGGGCGGACACTGTTAAAAGTATATATTTTCTATATAAATTATATAAATTTCATTTCGTTCGGGGGGGGCGGTAAAAAATTTTCGGGGGGGCTTCGCCCCCCCGAAGAGATGCCTGGAAGAAACTCTGCTCAAGATTAAGAAAGTCTGCTACTAACTAGAGTAGTAGGCATATGCTTACTTAGAAATCTAGATGTAGGAAGTTTATGTGTAAATCTAGCAAGACCCAGTTATTTAGTAGTAGGCATTGAATTATGGTTATTAGATCTAGAGTTTAGATTTAGTAATAGATTTGTCAATATTGACCTGAAGTTATAGATTTAATGGCTAGTTTTAATTGCAATTTTATTTATATTTTTGATACGCTTATTATGTATAAAAATGTAAACTATGATTATAAAAATGTAAACTATGATTATAAGACAAAATTTTAAGTATAAATATTGTGTGTAAATCTATTTTTCAGAATACCTGAATTAAATCAGTGCATAAAGACCTCTAGTAAACACAGAAGAAAGTACCCTACACATGTTCCAGACAACCTTAACTAAGACTATCAACAAAACATAGGAAATCAAAATGTGTTTTAGGATGAAGATTTCATCTGAGTCTGCAATTTATGAATAACAATATTTGATGCAGGAAAAAATTAAATTCCCTGAAATTATGGGACAAATATATATCACATTAAATAAAGTGCCTTTATCTTTAAATACTTAATAAATTATTAATTTATTTAATAAAAATTGAACTTGTCTTAATCATTGAATTTGTTTATTGATTGTAATTGTTAATGTTATTGTTAGTGTATGAAAATATTGTAAACAACAGTGAGAGTTGTAAAGTTCCTGTTTCTAGCCTGTTTGTCCATGGATCAGATTGCAAAGAGTTCAACTGTTCTGTGAACTTGGCATTCGAAGCCATGATGTGGTCAGCACAATGACAATGCCTTTACTTAGGTACCCCTCATTGCTGGGTGCACACAGGGACTTTTTACGGACTTAAACCTCAATTTAACTTGAGACTTTGGGTTAGTAGTAATGGCAGTCTAGCGCCAGTGTGTTTTTCTTCATATAAAATTTGCAAGTTAAACACTGTTTAGTTTCCTCAATCACTACAGCTTTCCAAAATCACTGAACTAACACACACAAACACAAAGAACGTATTAAAACAACACTCAATAAAAATAACATAAATCTTAACACTTGATAAAAGATTTATTTAGGATATATCAATATATATTTTTACAATGACCTACAAATACTAAATTGGAATTCATTGG